TCTCGAACAGCCTGCTATTGATATGTTCTGTATGTATTTTTCTGGTGTCATAGGTCCATATTTCGTACAGGTTCAATTGATTACATGTTGAGAGTTGCTTCACAATGTACTAATCTCCAAAATTAAATATTATTGTAGGATCAAATTTCAATTATTTTCTTGATAATTTAATTATAGTAAACTACATCTGCTCAAAGAAGTATGATTATCTTGTATTTGTCTACCAGTTAAAATTGATGTCCTCTTTTACAGGAAAGTGTGGAATGGGAACACAAGAGCAAAGTTCCCGGGAAGATGCATGGATGTGGACATGATGCACATGTCGCTATGCTGTTGGGATCTGCTAAGATTCTTCAGGAGCATCGTGATGAGTTGAAGGTTGGTTAAAATATTCTTCTGTATATAAAGCAATGCGAATTTCTCACTGTACAATGAAAAGTTTTGAAATAATTGAAATTCTCTCTTCAAACTTCGAGTGAGATATCTGAATAAATTTAAATATGGATAAATCATTGATTGTTAAAAGTATGAATATTAGCAAGAGTTATTTGGATGTCCAATCCTTCATTTTGGCTATTTGATTTGATGTATTGTTTTTAGTGGTATATACTCCGTATTAATTTTGATGGTTTACCTTGCACCTGTTCTGTATTTGTGACAATGATAAGAGAGATTTGTTAATTAAATAATGATAGAATAGCCTTAAAAAACTATATAAGATGTTTAACATTTGTATATTGCAATCCTTTCCTTGCTTTCATTGCATTAAGCTACATGTTCTCAATCCTTTGTAGATTTGGGAAAATGATAAAGATGCAGACTCTTTTTTTTTTTTGGAGTTTTTGTTTGTTTAAAAAGAAATATCTCATCTAGTAGTTCTTACCCAATTTTACTTTTTAATGTCATGATCCCAAGACTACAGAGTGTATCATAATATTATCTACTAGTAGCTTCCTCATATTTTGTATAACTTAAAATGGATGCTATATTTGTAAGAGGTAGCTTCTTTTAGTCTATGGAAGTCATTTTTTTTTGTCTCAGGTGTAGATCTATGAAATGCAATACATCGCTTTTTCTCTGCCTTTTTATTTGTTACAATAGATGCTTTTAATCAATTGCTTATGTTTCTCTTTGTAGGGAAAGCGTGCATCCACATTTGGTCAGCCAATATTGGTTTAAGTAATTATGTTTAAGCACACAACTAATCCTAGAAGTCCACATTGAGCGATCTTATGAAATTGCTTAGTTTTTTTTCCTCAAACGACGATTAAATCACTTAGTTCAGTTTCCTCCATATCAGTTATATGAACTGTCTTGTAATCTTTGAATTTTAATCACCCTTGAGTTTTCTATGGTCATAAATTTTGTTGTTTATTAATGTAGGGTACAGTGGTTCTTGTTTTCCAACCAGCTGAGGAAGGTGGCGGTGGGGCCCAGAAAATGATAGAAGCTGGAGCTCTGGAAAACATAGATGCCATTTTTGGGCTTCATATAGCTGATTCTGTGCCTATTGGTGTACTGGCATCCAGGCCAGGGCCTATTATGGCTGGGAGCGGATCCTTTGAGGCTGTAATAAGTGGAAAGGGAGGGCATGCTGCACTTCCTCATCACACTATAGACCCGATATTGGCTGCCTCAAATGTTATTGTGAGCCTTCAGCAACTTGTTTCCCGAGAAGCTGATCCCTTGGACTCACAGGTACCGTCCCTATCCTTGGATGACTTAATTTGTTCTTATATGCCATAAATTTCCTAGCATGGAAGCAATTTGTTGATTGACGTTGTCTATATCCATTTTTATGATCTACATAGTTCTCTTCCATAGAAGTTCTGTCCTGTACTGTTGGTCTAAATTACAGAACCATAATAGAACAAACTATATAAAATTATTCTGCCATGTGTTGTGAGATCTGTTTGAAATTCGTCAAGATCTTGTTGAACTTTTTATCCTGGTCCTAACACGGAAATTACCAAGGAGGGCAGCCTGAATTTTCCTGGACTTGTTATAGCTAGGCAGCAGAGTATTTCTTATACATTGCTATATACTATTCAAAACATAAGTTCTAAACTCTTAAATTGTTCAATATAGAAATTGTAGTTTCATAAGCAAAAATGACTGCATCACAAGAATTATACAAATTTGTATTCAATACATTACTCCCAGGTTCCCATCATTTTGTTCAGTGCACTGACTATTGTACTTTTGTTATGTTGAACCTTTGGCAATTTGTCCTTATTTATACTCCAGTAGTCCACTTTATGATTTTTTATTTGGACCCATGCTGTGTTCTGCAGGTTGTAACAGTTGGAAAGTTTCAAGGAGGTGGAGCCTTCAATGTGATCCCTGATTCAGTTACTATAGGTGGCACCTTCCGAGCCTTTCTGAAAGAGAGTTTTAATCAATTGAAGCAGCGAATTGAAGAGGTAAGAGCATTTGTTTGGGAACTTTGTGTTACTTTTTCAGTAGTCAATTCTTAATTATATTCTGCGATTAGGTTCTCTTAGACGAGAATAAAGGATTCAAAATTGCCTCAATATATGGCTACTTGAAGTTGCTGTTAAGATAATCAGTCACTATACCTAACTACAATAGTAATTTTAAATAGACTGATCTGTGAATTTCATCGATAGCTTTAGAGAAGTGGATACTTGCAAGTGGCACTGGCACGACATCCTGTGTGCTGTCACATAATTTAAATATATACTATGACCAAGGGTATATTGTAAACGAATAAGCTGATGCACATCTAAAAGTTGGTGCATTCCGTTATTCTGATTTTGTGTTAGATTGTACTGCTGTCAGTTTGAGCACAAGAACAGTTCCTGACACTTATTCTCATGAATAAACTCAATTTTTGGAAAGTTGCATGGATACAGACCCACATGTAATTTGCTGTTTGATTACTTGTAATATTTTTTTCTTTCACATTTTACTTTTAATGAAAATTACAGATATAGCTGTAGGCTTGTAGCTTTCATCTTTGTAATGGTATTACAGAACTTACAAAACCAGTTTCCTCATAGTTATTATGGGTTGGTAGGTTTGTAGATGGAATTATCTGGGCCACAATGGTCAGAACTCTTGACACATGCACTGAGTTCCCAGCTATATTCACCTCTGGAGTTATAAACATCTCTACATATAAAATTTCACTGTGGATTGTCCTGCAGAGGATAGAGGACCTCAGCTACTTTGTTTTTCATGTCTCAGGTGATTGTGTCTCAAGCATCCGTGCAGCGCTGCAGCGCTAGCGTGGACTTCCTCACAAAGGATCGTCCATTCTTCCCCCCAACCATCAACAGCCCTGAAATCCATGATTTCTTCGTGAATGTGGCCAGCGAGATGGTTGGGTCGAGGAATGTGAGGGACAGACAACCGCTAATGGGCGCTGAGGACTTCTCGTTCTATGCCGAGGCGATCCCCTCGACCTACTACTACTTCGTGGGCATGTACAACGAGACTCGTGGACCGCAGGCGCCCCATCACTCCCCCTACTTCACCATCAACGAAGATGCCCTCCCCTATGGTGCGGCAGCGCAAGCGGCGTTGGCAGCTCGCTATCTACTCGAGCATCAGCAACCTGCTGCTACCACTGATAAGGCAAAAACCCATGATGAGCTGTAGATACATAATGTTTGCTTCACTCTGTTAATGGAATTAGATTGAGCAATAATTTCTTTGCCAAGTTATTCCACGGCTGTACATATTGATATCTCCATGCTTTGGTAATAATCGGTTGCTGAATGCTGATCAATTGTGGGATCAGGCATTATTTGGCGTGATGTTCAGTCAGCAAATAATCTTGGAAACATTGTTCTTCGAACTTGGTAGTACTCTTATTGTCAGTGATTGCTTATGCGCAGTGCACACGAGGAATTAAGAAAGTAACATAACCAAATAACAAAATTGGGGCACCAAGAAAGGCTCAGGCAGCACAAATGCCTTCAGCAGTTACATTATCCCACCTGCGAATCAGAAAATTGCACAACATAAAAAAACCGTGTGACTGGACATGCCAAGATCATGTAATATTCAAATACTTGAGACTATTTGTATGAGCTATACGTTTAGGCATTTAGGTCAAAAGCTGGGTTTCTAGCTTTTCACTTTTTGCTACTGGATTTGTGATATATTTTTAGCTTCTCAGCACATAAAAAATGAGAAAAGCAAAAGCCAGTTTTTCAGTTTTTCTCTGACTTCTGACCGACAGAAGCTAGCAAAAACATGAAACAAACAGACCCTTACACAACTTCTCTAGCTCACTAGACCTTCCAAACCCATCTAGGTTGTTTTTTTTATGGTAAAGGACTAAAGGGATGTTATTTGTTCTAGTATGTTAGTAAAAGCTTATGGCCATTCTAAATGAAACCCCAAAACAGTTGAACAAAAAAAATATTAAGATTCATTTAGCAGAGCTCTATCTCCACCATGAGTAGGACTTGTAGCTTAAAAAAAATCTAGATCAGAACTGGATACACCGAAAGCACTTAGCTCCACTAAACAAATATGTACAAGATAATTTAGTTTATGTTAAAATGTTGTGAGAGGAAAACACCGTTCGTTACGGTGGTTACGGTGGAAGAAGTCCTGTAGCAGGGGAACATACCGCGGCAGCCGGCAGAGACGAGAGGATGACACAAAAGAGAGTGGGCAAGCAAAGATGGTGCGCCACCTGTTATCCAAAGGCGTCCAGCTCCTCCCCACACGCGCACCACAGCGGCCAGGCAGCCAGCGAGGCCGCCAGAGGAAGCCACCAAACCAGCCAGTTGCGGCCTCAGCCCGTGCCGTGCCGTCTCCTCTCCTCTCCTCTCTCGTCTCATCCCCAGCCCACCCAGCAATGCCCTCCTCCTCCTCCTCCTCCTCCGCCGCCACATGACCTGCGCCGCGCCGCGCAGCCACCCTTGCCTGGTCACGAGAACGCCGCCACGCACACCAGTTCAAGCGCTTCTCTCCCTCCCTCATCCTCGTGGATTGGAATCGACGGCTGGAAGTGGATGACGATGGCGGGTTCTTGCGCCGCGCCGCCCGTTGCCGGTCTTCCCTCGTTGAGGACGCCGCCGCCAAGTCTGAGCGCCGCGCCGCCCGTTGCCGGTCTTCCCTCGTTGAGGACGCCGCCGCCAACTCACCTCAGACTTGGCGGCTTCTTGCCCTGTTCCTCGGCCGCGCGGAGTCGCGGCGGCGCCGTGCTGGGATGCGCTCTGGGGGCCAAGAAGCACACGCCGGGTGTTCTGAACCGGGTACTTGCTTCCTACAGATAAACTTGATTTGTTGTTTGGTCTGCATGATTCGTAGGTTGGACTAGAACCTTTTCTTTTTCTGCCTTTGTTGTTAAACGGTTTCTCGATTGCATTGCTGCTGTGATGACAATTTTGTGATGTTTATTATTACACCTTCAAAGATCAATTAATAGATGACAGATTATATGGTCCCAAATTGAGTATGTATCGGTATTGGTTTCTATGGTAATTCCTTGTGTGCCAAAGGATTTATTCTTGTTTTTTCATGTCAAGCCTATACGTATGCTGAATCTCTACAATGTGTAATAACCAAGATTTGCAGTCGCATCAAAATTGCCATATCAGCCTGTATCACCGTAGCTCCAATGTTCACCCAAAATTCTTATCATAAAAGAAAAATTCAGTCAAAATTTGATCTTTTTGCGGTCCATGGTAACAGCTAGTCCTACTTGTGTTGCTGGTATCTTCTGCTTAGATCCTGTGCCTAAAGTTTGGACAGTGGCATTCACACCTTCCTTGCATGTGAGCTATGCCCATATCAATATAAATCATACAGCAGCTTCGGTTTAATACCAACATCAGTTGATGGCTGGAAATGATAAAAAAACACCATTCAGAAAGTTGACCATTTTTCACATATATTCTGTGGGCTACTCTCATTACATGTGAAAAGTGATTGTGCTATAGCTTTTCTCTAGCATGCCTCAAAAGGCGGACAATGTAGCTCAGAGGATAAAGTAGAGTTCCTATTTGATACTCCATTGGAATCAGCTTGACCTCATTTATTCAGAATCCAATACTTGGGATTCTTATCAGCTTTGTTGTTGTCTTTTATTCAATATTTTCCGCAATGTCCCTGGAGAGTTGGGTTTAAAATTGACAGCACACATATAAATCCACCTGGTGAATTTAGGTTGTGTCTTAAATGGCTGCAGCCTCTCTTGTGCTATGGTGCTACTCTAGATACAGGATTACTTCATAGCTAATTTTGACTAATTGGTATGGGTTCAACCTAATTTTTAAAAAACTGGGCTTTTTATTTCCATATACTACAATATATTTGTTTTTCACTAATGATTTACTGCCAGGGCTGTTTTTATTGTGCTCGTATAGTTGCTCTGCGGATACATGCGAAGAGATGGGCATGAAGGTGATGCAAGCAGTCAAGGAAGGGATGATGCTGTTATGTTTGGGCCAGATGATGATGGTGTAAAGATTCCTACTCAGGTAGAGACTCTTGTAAAGGGCACTGCAACGGTTGCTGAACCAGAATACAAGGCGATCCCAGATCTAGATTACCTACAGGTACTTTTTTCTGATCATTTTATACTGAACTAATTTTTTCTATTAAAATTAACTTTAGTGGTTATTAAACCTTTTAAAGTTAGTGTAATACAATCAGAATTTCAATAATGAATGCTACTCAGCATATATGGGCTTTATGAATTGATTTATCCTATGAACTGGTCTCATTTATTTTGTGGTCATGCAGGAGCTGCTGGCTATTCAGCAGCAAGGACCTCGTGCCATAGGTTTCTTTGGAACCCGCAACATGGGATTTATGCATCAACAGCTTATTGAGATCCTGAGCTATGCTATGGTCATAACAGTATGTTCCTATGTGCCTTTGTCATTCATATGATCTCCCTGATTTATATGCTAGTGTGTTTCATATGGTCTTTGATCCCTCTAGCGTTGTTAATAATGTTTGTGTATAATTTGCAGAAAAATCATATATTCACATCTGGGGCTTCTGGAACAAATGCCGCTGTTATCAGGGGTGCTTTAAGAGCTGAAAAGCCAGAGTTGCTTACTGTAATTTTACCTCAAAGTCTAAAGAAGCAGCCTCCTGAAAGCCAAGAACTGTTGTCTAAAGTAAGAATTCCTGATATTTCTATTCTGAAATGAGACTTCCTGATGTTTCTATTCTGAATTGGTCATTTTCTAGTCAAACTTAGCTCCAGACCTGTTACTATAGGCATTTAGTGATTTAGGGATACATGCCAGTTTACCTTTTGTTCTATATATTTAGTATAGGCATTTAGTGATTTTGTATCGAGTGATAGGCTGCTCATTAGTCATCACAATATTTTCAGCATATTCAAGTTGTGGAAAGATTTCTTAGGACCTTAACAAGCTTGATCATGAGTATGCTTAAAAATCAATGTGATCACTTGGTTAGGAATGTTTCACCGTGGCATTTGAATCATTCAGAAATAAGAAACCATCAGCACTATTCTATGATCTGGGATTCTGGCTAGAATATAAAGATATATGCAGCTCTCCTGCATGTTAGAAAACAAAAGCCATATCATTAAGCATTCATTGTCATATGTGTTAGTTCTAATAACATGCCTTGCGAATTTAATAACATCCTGCCGATGCATTTTTTCCATATGATAAATTTGAAATGCTTCAATAACATTTTGTAAATTTTTTATAGGTACAAAACTTGATCGAGAAACCGCAGTATGATCATTTGCCACTAATTGAGGCTAGCAGGTCAGTGAGCTACCTTTTCAAACTGCTCGTAGTTTTCCTATACTCTATATTTTTGTCACCAGTGGTGTGGCACTGTGCATATATACCTATTTGCTCCATGCAGGGGGTGATTGGTTGCCCGAACCAGGGCGTCCGAAGGGGCATCCTGCATCCCTCGGTGCACTTGCGCCGTGTTTGGTTGCCCTGCTCGCACCTTTTGCCTGCATCTTTTCATTCGTTTGCCCTCCTCTATCCCGCACGTCTCTGTCTTTTGGATTTCTCCTTCCCTCATGGTGCAGGATGACTTGATTCACCCAGGATGCAGGGACCCATGCGTCAGACACCCAAAAAACTGATGCATGCATGCAACTAAACACAATCCTGTCTCGTACTAGACCAACAACAAAGACAACCAAACACGACCACTTGCACAAGCTCAACCTAGCTTCTTTGGTCCTGCATAGCCTGGCCATCCTGGCTCAAGGCTTGGTCTACAACCAATCACGCCCGCAGTGTATCATTTAGTTCCAGCTCGTTTCAGAGATTGCACAAGTGCAGGTGCTATCCTTTGTTTTTGGACAAAACAGATTGCACTTTGTTTAATTCAAATAGATCATTGATAGTTCTGGTACAATCCAGAACTTCATTACACTGCATTGAATCAAACACTATGTTCTGTAGATTTTGCAATAGTTTCTCCTGCCTCATTTACAGAATGATCGCATGAATAAAAGACACTGAATCAAAACCAGCAGTGGACAGGTTTGATGCCATGATTAATATTTAATAACTCTAGATTGGGGTCTGTCCAAGGGTAGATACTGTACTGTTACCTTGACAAAAATGTTATTATATCTTTTTTTGGTTAATCAGTTTTATTTTAGAAAACCAGCGTCTGTCTTTTTGCCTATTTGTTAGAGTGTATAAATATCTTGTACCTTTTCCACTACCCCTTTAGCCGGCTCAGAAGGACACTGAAAGACGAGTCACTTTTCTTTTTATCTCTATATAAATACGTATTGTGACTAGAATATCACCTTTATGCTTAATGGCAACTGTTGCAATCTTCAGGTTATGCAATATGGACATCATCTCTAAGGTCCAACAGGTGATCTGCTTCGCGTTCCATGACAGCAAGCTGCTGATGGAAACATGCCAGGAGGCCAAGAACCTTCGGAAGATCGTGACACTCTTCTACTTGGATTAGCTCCTCCGGCAGGGATCTAGTCTCCTTTTTTTTTTTTGTCCGTGGCGTAGGCTAATGTTGGGGGGATAAAAAGCAAGCTGAACGGTTTAGTTAGTTTCGAAATATATTGGATAGGTGGTGCGGTGACCTTCCATTGGAGGAGAAAGCCATTTTGTTTCGCCCATTGTTTTGATTCTTGTCACAAAGAAACCAATAATCTTGTCGATATGCCTAGTTTGTCAGCCAAGGGAATAAGATTATAAGTTGGAGTTTATTTGTTGTTGATCTCAGGCTTATAATAATTAATTAGTTCGTGCTTCAGTTTTTCCACCTCTTTTATGTCTTTTCCCGCTTTTTATTTGATGAAATGTTATCTTGATTGATGACTTAATTTTCTTTTTCAAGTGGGTATTATCATAATTATTATATCTTTAAAAGAGTGATTTCGGTAAATAAATAAATAAATATCAACCTCTGGATCATGTTTGGTGGGCCGCCGTTAGGTCCGAAGATGGTGCTTGTCCAGAAATGATTTCGCATCCCCCATTCTCTCGTGGGCCGCGGTTAGGGCCGAACGTTTATGGTTATGGGAGCGCTGCTTCTCTTGTCTCCATCCACATCCCCCTCTCGTCCTGGAAACGCTTTATGGGAGAGCTTTTTCTCTAGTCCCCGTACCCGTGTGGGAAATTTATCCTTGCAGGAAGCCAGGAACCCTCTCTCTGTTACAAACTGGATCCATTTTTAAGTCTGACCAAACATATATTAAAAAAATAATCATATTTATGATGTGTAACAAATATCGCTTGATTACTATTGGAACATACTTTCATAATAAATTTATCTGAAGATACAAACATTGATATTATTTTTTGGTCAAACTTAAAAGCATTGACTTCTCATAAAGCGAGATGTGCATTTATTTTAGGACTGTATGAGTACTCCTATTATACGCAGAATTCTCTGGAAGAATCTCAAACTTGGACTGCAATGCAGGTGATGCACTGGTGGGTGGCGAGGGCGTGGACCAGGTGTCTAGGTGGGTCACAAACTCACAACGAACCTAACCGCCGCCCATCCTAAGGCTAATTTTAATGGGGTTTCATGTCCCAGTTTCCATCAAATCTATATTTTTGAAAATAATGCAGAAGAGTTTTATACTATAGAATTCTCTCTACTCCTATGAAACTTTTCACCCTATTCTGTAGCACTACTTCAGCGAAAAAACAGTGTTTTTCTCTCACAATAAATTAGCATAAGCATCAGTATAAGCTAAATTTCAGCGGAGCGAACAATACATTTAATGCTCATGAAACTTTCTTAAAACCTCTATGGAGAAATTCTAAAAAAAATAACTCTATGGAGATTCACCTAACATGTGGTCTACCGCACCATTTAGGCATCTCCATCGCACAAGACCCACCGTGACTGTCTCGGACACGTAGCATTTATTTTGTAAGAGAGGAAGTACTCGTATTATACATTAAATTTTGTGAAAGAATCTCAAACTTGGATCGCGATGTGGGTGCTGCACTAGTGGGTGGCGGGGCGTGGACCCCGTGTCCAGGTGGTCACAAACTTACAACGAACCCAACCGCTGCCGATGTGCTGTCCTAGAGCAGCTCCAGTCTTCAGCGAAATCGAACCGTGGCCGCTAAAAGGGGTGTTTGGTTGTCTCTCCTAAATTTTAGTCGCTGTCTTATCGGATGTTTGATATATGCATAGAGTATTAAACATAGACTAATTACGAAATTAATTACTTAGTTTGCGACTAATTTACGAGATGAATCTTTTGAGCCTAATTAGTCCATGATTTGACAATGTTTTGCTACAATAAATACGATGCTAATGACGGATTAATGAGACTTAAAAAATTCGTCTCGTGGAGTACTAACGGATTATGTAATTTATTTTTTTATTAGTATCTGAACACCCCATACAACATTCTTCCGACACACCTTCTAAATTTTATTAGCCGAATCAAACACCGTGTAAGTCGAACAGAACACATTGGAGCGGTCGAAACCACGTGTCAGATGCAAAATCGGTTATTTCAGACAGTTCGAACTCAAGACGAATTAAAAAATAGGATATATGCCGCCGACGGAGAGGAAATGCTGCGGCCCATTCCACTGGGAGAAATTTGAAGAAATCTAGATGAATCTGGAGAGTCGTGCATGAGAAAGTGCACAGTGCAGCAAGAGCCAAGAGGTAACATTTTTTTCTCATTTTTTTGTTCTTCCGTGGAGTCCGAAAAAACGATTTAGCACTGTGAGTCTGCCATATGGCGCACTCACAGATTTTGATTCGATTGCACACTGAAGCTGCCCTAACAGGTGGACAACAGCCGTACAGCCGTACAGCCATCTCCATCACACAGGGCCGACCGTGAGTCCGTGACTGTCTCGGATACGCAGACTTTCACCCCGTCGCCGTATATAACCCTAACCCCTCCTTTTCTGTTTCATTCACGCCGCCGCCGTATCGTTGTTGATCGTCTATCGCCGCCGGCCCGCCGCTAGGATGTCGGTGGAACGTCCCCCCGCTCCCTCGACCGCCGCAGACGAGGAGCTCGCAGCCCGCATATCAGCACAGCCACCCTCAGCAAGAAGCAACAGAAGAAAATCTGCAGGAAAGCCGAGAAGTTGGCGCGCTGGCAGCACCAGCACCAGCACCAGCAGCCGACTCATGGTTCCGACGATCTGTTCGAAGCCAACTATGGCGATATACCACTAGAGGAGATCCAGTCTAAGGCCATCTCCGGTCGTTCGTGGACCAATGTTTGCGACCTCGATGCCGCCGCCGTGGGTCGCTCCGTGCTGGTACGCGCGGCCACTCAAGCGATCCGCGAGGTTGGCAATAAGATGGTCTTCTTCGTTCTGCGCCAGAGCATGAGCACCGTGCAGTGCGTGCTTGTCGCTAGCGCCGACGCTGGGACCAGCACGCAGATGGTGCGATTCACGGCATCCCTCAGCGTAGAGTCAATCGTCGAAGTCGAGGGTGTTGTCTCCCTTCCCGAGTACCCCATAAAGGACTGCACGCAGCAGGTTCCACCGCCTTTTCCTCCTTTTGCAATATATTCGTGGGCATTTGAAGGCGGCTAATAAGCCGGCTGAAGCTGTTTTATTGCGAGAGAAAAATACTGTAGATTTTAGCTGATAAGTTCAAGCGAACATGCCCGAGTCATCAGGAACCGCATCAGAAAAAAAAGGGAACCGCGTTGATCGATGGTTTTTGGTGCCTTTGCAGGTTGAGATTCAAGTGAGGAAGATCTACTGTGTCAATAGGGCTATACCGAACCTTCCGATGAACTTTGAGGACGCAGCCCGGAGTGAAATCGAGATTGAAAAGGTTGAACATGTGTACTGTTTTAAATTATGTGAATTGTCCGCATTCTGTTTAATGAAGAATACAACTTTATTTTCGAGCTTTGTTTTGCCTGTGGTTTCTACAATCCTATCTTATGATTTGATTATTGCTATGATTGAAGGATGGACAACAACAGAACATTATTCGTGTTGGGCAAGATACCCGATTGAATTATAGAGCTATTGACCTACGAATACCGTCCAACCAAGCAATATTTCGAATTCAGTGTCAAGTTGAAAACGTAAGTGTGCCAGCATTTCCACAGGTTGTTAGTTTGCTTTTATTTATGTATATGTATCTTTTCATTGGACTGTTAACTTTTTTTTTTCTGTTCATATGCAGAAATTCAGAGAATTTTTGTTGTCCAAGGGCTTTGTTGGGATCCATACCCCAAAACTGATTGCAGGATCCAGTGAGGGCGGTGCTGCTGTATTTAATCTTTTATACAATGGTCAGCCTGTTTGTCTAGCACAATCTCCACAGTTACACAAGCAAATGGCTATTTGTGGTGGATTTGAACGTGTATTCGTGGTTGGTCCTGTGTTTAGAGCAGAAAGTTCTCGCACACACAGGCATCTCTCAGTTTATTGGTCTTGATGCTGAAATGGAGATTAAGGAGCACTATTTTGAAGTAAGATTAGAATAATAGTGATCCATTTCATTTATTGAAGTTTCTTTTTACTAAAAGTATTGGTTCTTTATGTACGTTTGTGATATTGTTGATGGATTATTCTTGTCGATATTTAAACACTTGAATGAGAACTGCAAGGAGGAACTTGAGGCAATAAATAAGCAGTATCCATTTGAACCTCTGAAGGTAAAACATTCGTGCTTATTTTATAGTTCTCATCATGATGCAGTCATCTGATTTTGTTGCTCAAGCTAATGACTTGAAATACGTTAACCATCCGTGCAGTATCTGGATCAAACCTTGAAGCTCACTTATGAGGAAGGAATTCAAATGTTGAAGGTATAAACTCTAGGCCTGTTTTCCCTGACATATCAACTTGACTACACAAAAGTAGACTAATTTGTCCCAATTGACAGGATGCTGGAACAGAAACGACTCCTATCAGGGTGACCTCAATACTGATGCTGAGAAAAAGCTTGGTCAACTTGTCAAGGAAAAGTAAGTTTATCATACGTTGCTTGTTGCTCCCACTTTTAGAAATGATAATTTAGTGTTCTGTTTGGCGATGGTAGAACGTGGGCAACACTGTAAGGTAGTGTTTGGTTCTAACGACAAGGTGGGGATGATCCATCCTATGCCAAGTGCTGCTTCCGTTCCAATGAGCGAAGTTTTGCGTGGTTCGGCTTGTTTGCCAACTTGAGCCACCTCGTGAGCCAGGGAATAGAGACAAGGATGCCAATTGAGTCCTAGCTGGTGATGTGTGTTAACTTCTTTGGATCATCTAGTAGTGGATCCAGTGGGTGAGTTCTTTTCTATTTGGGATAACTAGTGATTTAGAGATTCAGAGGGAGTAAGAGACAGAGAGAGAGAAAGGGAAATGTAGGAACATCTAACCGTCGGAGGGGTTGGAGGAGCTCCCTGCCTTCGGCTAGTTCGCTTGGTGATGATCTTTTAATGATGAAAGACCGTGGTGGCGCAGTCAGATCAAAGCTTCCGCCACCGGCTCGCCCTCTGTTAGATCGGAGTAGGGTTTCTTGGTGGGGCGTCCTCGAAGACAGACCTCATCTGAGAGCCGCCGACCCCACCTCTATTTAATCTTGCTGATGTGACGGGGCCCGCCACCATAGATGGACTGGCGCCCCGATCGGGCGCGAGGTCAAGCAAGTGGCCGTTGGGCCACTTTGGGTTGGGAGATCAAACCAACATTCTCCCCTTGATCTCAACTCATACTTTAACTTTAAACTTTGACTTTAATCGTTTTCACTTTTATTTGTTCCATCACAGAGATTAGTGCATAGAGCATGCTTCATCGTCACGGTCAATTGCCGATAGACTTAACAGACTACAATACACATCTACTGTTACAAAATGCAGTTCTTTAACTTTGGGCCCTTTGTTGTCCGTCATAGGCTATACCATAAACCCATGTCGTTGTGTGTTCTCCAAACACACCTTTGGTGGTAAACCTTTTTGTATGCGGATCCGCAAGCACTTGCTTGTTACTTATATGTTCAATACTTTTAGTATGATTCCGGACTTTCTCCTTCACAACGTACAACTTTAATGTCAATGTGTTTGGCAAAGACACTTGACCCGTTGTTATAGGCGAACTACTTAAATGGTTATTGGGTGTAAGTTCTTTTAACCACTTCGCTTTGTCCTTAAGCCTCATAACAAGCTATACCATGGGTATGCATCTTTGATGACATCATAATCTGCTTTTTGGAGCTTTTCCACAATAAAACTCCAATCATGAAGTGTTAGCTATATGTGGGTTTCACTAAACATCTCGCCAAAATATAACATTTGTACCCACAACTATTTGAGAGTACTTATTCTTTCTTACTTACCATGAGGCCTATAAATCTTTGCACAATTGCAAAACATTCTCAACTCCATTCCAAAGATCTATATCTCGACGGACTTACCATCCGGGATACATAAAGCTCTAAAGGGTAAGTTCTTGCTTATAAGCATTCAGTAAGCTTCCAACAACTGAAGCATATAGGACGTCCATTTGATCGATCTCACATTTATTCTTGGAACACTGAAAGTTCCGAAAACTATTACCCTTGACTATGGGAACAGGCGCAGGTTTATTCACATATATACTTTATTTCTTTAGAATCTTCGCTAAGTATACACTTGAGATAGTTCTAATACCCCTTTTTCCTTTTATCTCGGTAAGTTCCAATTCCTGGAACGAATGATGCTTTACCAAGACCATTCTCATTGAAACTTGAGGACAAGAACTGCTTCTTCTCCAACAGTAGATTAACACCACTACTAGCGAGTAAGGTGCTACCCACATGCAGGATTAGGAAAATAAATTTCCCATGTTTAAACTTTGCATAAATACAATTGTCCTCTACATTCTCTTTAAAACCCAAACTTTCTTATTGTACTGTCAAACTTCAAGAACCACTATCTTGAAGCTTACTTTAATCCATAAATGGATTTCTTTAGGCAACATCCCTTTACGTTCTTTTCCTTCCACGACAAAACCTTTTGAGTTATGCCATGTAAACTTTTCCATACAAATCCCCGTTGAGGAATGTGTCTTTACATCCTTCTGATGTAACTGTAAATCATAATGTGCCACTAATACCATTATGATTCTAAAAGAATCCTTGCATGCTCATTATAATCTATTCCTTCTCTTTATGTAAAACATTTCACCACAAGTGGCGCTTTATAGCTTTCCATATTCTCTTTGGGTATCTTTCTATATTCCCTTTGGAGTCACCTTTGTCATGTAGACCCATTATAGCCTCTTGTTTTTGGCTCCATGAGGAATCTCTTCTTAGTCACTAGAAATATCTGATTTTCTTATTCTTTGAGACCTTCTAGGGCCTCGTGGCACTTCTTTCATATGGGGCTATTGTTACTCTTCATTGCCAAAAGGCAATTGTCCTATAACCTCCTGTATCACAAGATCCTTGTTTACTTATTCATCTTCTTTAAGAGCTAACATCAGGTGTTGTATATGTCATACAACATCAACATGTATTAATCAATTTGTTGCTCTAAAAAACATTGTAGTGGATATGTAATCCCACTTCTATTCAAGCCTTAGGTATCTACATACCATGCTCCCCCAGATTACTCCATCTTCTGAAAAGATGGTGTATCTTCAAATTTCTTATTTTGGGTTTAATCTACTAAAAAACTCATATGGCGCGTTTAGCACCGCCTTGATAACTCTGAACTCGTCCAGTATAAATACTAGCTAACTATGCTATCTTCCTATCGGAACTGTAAAAGGTCTAGGAATTTAGCTATTTCTTTACTTTAGGGGTATCTTTATTATGACCGTCTTACTCCCTTAACGACCACATTCATCTTTTATAGATCACTTTTACCTTCAATGCATAGTATGCATTGCATTATCTGAAGTATGGGGAAGTATCTTTCTTAATTGTCTTTCTCAATTAATCTTACATTTCTCCCCCTCGAAATGTGGTATGAACTTTTCTACCACAATTTCGAAAAACATTCAGAACTCTTGTTAATGAGGAAACTTTGATTACTTATTTCATCCACATGATTACATCATGCAAACAAAATTCGTATGGGAGTACATTTTCCTCATTACATTTCAAAACTCAACATAGTCTATTATTTTCAATACTTCTGCAAGTCACGCTTGCATATCATTTTTATCTTTTGGTTCACATGCAACTTTCTTTTGTTCTTAAACTCATTGAGTACTTAATGACCATGACACAATCAGAGTGTACGGTCAATACTAGGATAGCATAAAAACTACCTCAAACTTCTCTCCATGTGCGGGATATACTTAGAGCACATGAGTCATCACATCCTTCTTCCGCCATGCGGGATAAGTACTATGCCAAACTCTCCCGCCATGTAGGATTGGTTAACATATGTACTATGCCAACTTTACCCCGCCATGCGGGTATTTTCTCAAACTTTTCCCGCCATGTGGGTACTATCATAAACTTTTTCCCGCCATGCGAGATATTCCTTTGAACGGACATAATTGCCAGGATTGGCTCATGTTCAATCATCAAATTCAGAAATAAATCCGAATATTCTTTTAACACACATGTTTAATCCAATGTTAGTCAAATTAAACATGTATATGACTTTTTACAACTCTCATAAGTGAAACTGAAAATAAATTCTTCTCCACAGAGAGTACATAAAAGACATTTCTCAATGAAGACTCTCATTGATCTATCTCTTTTCTTGGATCAATATCCTAGAATTCTTTTCTTTTGAAGCTATTTTTAAAGAGAACACAGTCCCTTTACCAATGGCATTCTTTCATACATAACTTGCCCTTAGGCATTTCATCATCTGAGTCACAAGTACCCAGCTCATTTCTCTTTCTGCCTTCAAGAATGAAAGCATGGAGGTCTTTTGTCTGAAAAAATATATTCAACAATAATGCTCATTAAACTTTGATAACTTTATGTTCTATTCTATATCACCGTTGGGCCGAAATAGAATAAAACATCATTCTTCTACATTAATTCCACATCACCGTTGGGCGATGGGAATTAACGTATAGAAATTCAATAATCTTGAAAACATAGAACTGCTCCTAAAAATTAAATTCTCCCGTTGGTTCGAATTTAATTAGAAGACAATCATCTTCAATGCAGCGGAAACATGAAAATACATTTCTCTAGTTTAAGAGCATTCTTTGATCTTTATCTATTCTCTGAAAATTGGTCACTTTGATGCAAAATTATCAAAGATTTAAACTTTAAACATAAAACTCATAAAATTATAATATTGTTATCATCAACGTTGGTCGAAAAATAACAATACCATAATTTAACTTTAAGCTTAAACTCATAAATGAACTTATAATATTGTTATCATCAACGTTGGTCGAAAAATAACAATATTATAATTCATCTTATCTATAAACCGACTATTCCTCCAATTATATATTTTTTTTTCTTCTTCTTTGGTTCCAATTTTAATCTGGAGATAAACTTTTCATCATTTACTGAATAACTATAATCGCTCTTCAAATTAGAAGACAATAAACCTTTAACTTTGCAGCGGAAAATTGACAAAATTTCTTTTTCTACTTTTCAGAAGCATTTTACTGTACTTTTCTACTCTCTGGAAAATCTAACACGTTGGTGCAATTTTACCAGAAATTTACATCTTCAAATTGATCAAAATTCATTCAAATATGCTTCTAAAAATTAAAATAAAATAATAAACTGAAAACTCTCCTTCTTGTTCATTTGGCCCGGAGGCTGCTTGGCTTCAAGGCTGATCTCTTGTTCGGCCCAATGACTCAATGTGCAAGCAACTTCCACCAAGCCCAAAAAACTCTCCTTCTTGTTCATTTGGCCCGAGGAGGCTGCTTGGCAAGGCTGATCTCTTGTTCGCCCAAGAAGCTCGCCTCATGAATATACAGACTTCACACTCTGGGCTGGGCCGGAAAGTGGCATCCCGCTCGGGCTCTATTCGCCCGAAACAACGCTGGCCGTCTCTCTCAATCAACGGCCGCATTGATCTCGGAGGATCAAAAACCCCCACCGTGCGGCTCCCTCAACCCTAGCCTCATTCTTTCCCTCCTTTCTCTCTCATCCGCCGAGTGTATCCAGCAAGAAGCCAAGACGGCGTCGAAGGAGGAAGTGGAGGTGGCGGCGCCGCCACGGCCCCTCTACGGCAAGGCGTGCTAAGAGCTAAACCCTGCAGCAACACCGTCGAGAGAGCCACGGTGGTGCCCTTTGCGAATCGAGCCCACGCGGTGGCGTAGCTCGGCCGTCTTCCCGCACCGGCGAAAAAGTCTTTTTTCCCTTGCGGTGGCGTCTGCGCCGACGGGATGAAGGCCCCAGTAGGACCACGTGTTCGTTCTCATCTTTGCTGGAATTTGGGGATTCTAGGGTTGGGGTTTCGGGTTAGGGATTCACCTTTTTGAGTCACGGGTTTAGGGTTCGGATCAAGCGATCTTGAGGCCGAGCCCTTCTATCTTCACCCGATTAGGGTTAGGGTTAAGAACCTTTCTTTCATGCTTTCGAGATCCGAGGATCTAATCCATTCTTTTCCTTTGTTTGTTCTCTTGATTCTCTTCCGGCATAAGCATGTGATGGGTACTCCATCCGCGTTAAGCGCGGTAGTGATATGAGGGGAAGCCTTCATGGGTACCCCTCCCTTTCTCTCTATTCTTTGCTAGGATTAGGGTTTCTACTTCTTCCGATTTAAAACCGTTCATCTTCCCCACGCGGTTCTTTCGTTCTTTGTCTAGATCCGAACGGATCTAGACCATCTTTTTTTTTCTAATCGATTTCTAGCCCCGACAAGATCCACGCCTAGGTAAAACGTCTACGATACCATTGTTAACTTCTTTGGATCATCTAGTAGTGGATCCAATGGGTGAGTTCTTTTCTATTTGGGATAACTAGTGATTTAGAGATTCGAGGGAGTAAGAGACCGAGAGAGAAAGGAAATGTAGGAACATCTAACCGTTGAGGGGAGGGTTGGAGGAGCTCCTGCCTTGACTAGTTCGCCGGTGATGATCTGCGCTAAGCGGCGACGGTTCTGAGCGATCGAAACGCAGCGCGTTGCGGCGGTGCTTCCGTCATGGCTGCGCCCCTCATTAGATCGGAGTAGGGTTTCTTGGTGGGGCGTCGGCTCGGGGATTTAACCTCGTGCCGAGAGCCGCCGACCCCACCTCTATTTAATCTTGCGATGTGACGGGGGCCCGCCAGCCATAGATGGACTGGGCGCCCCCGATCAGGGCGCGAGGTCAAGGCCCAAGTGGCCGTTGGGCCACTGTGGTTGGGAGATCAAACCAACAATGTGCGATTTGCAGATGCATATCCTCAATTGCAGCCTTTGCGCTTGCTTCTCTATTTTTAATTTGGTGGCATCAAAAGTGCGTTTTTATCGTCCTCTGTGGATGCATGCTCCACTTGCAGGACTTGAGGATAGCCGTGGGACGCCCAAAGGGGTAATAGAAACGACTAGAGCTGGCAGCTGGTTGCGTCACATGCGTGCGGTGGCCCATGGTCTCGGATAGTTTAGTGTTTTAGGGAGGATTAGGCTTGCTGGCTATTGGGCTGTTTGGGTGGGCCTGTTTTTGGTTTGCCGTTGCTAGATTGGCTCTGGAGAGGTTCACAAGCCTGCTTGACTTGACCCATTCTCTCTAATGAGCTGAAAGCTAAGCCTCGCTTAGGTAATTGCAACGAGCCAAGTCTAGCCAGCCATGAACTAGCTGAGCTGATGAGCTTCAGTTTTTCGTCCAGCCCTGGTAGCCACTTCTATAGCACAAACTTTTCATATTGTTCGACTAATTGTTTGTCAAAGAAGTTTGAATCTTGAAATATACGTGCGTTATATATGTTGGGTCAGAAGGTCTATGTAGGCATGTTGTGAACTTGTCCCATGGTTAAACAAGGGGCTATCATGGGCCAGCTTGACCATCTGGTTCTGTGCAATTTGTGAAGTACCAAGACAACTCTGGTATTCTATTTGCTATTTTGCTCCTCTTCCCTTTGTATAGTGATATTAGATCTGCAGCTAAAGTCCTGAATCATCTTTTCTCCACTTTGAGAACGAACATGGTGACCTATATTTTTCCACCACTTATACTTCACTAATTCTTGTTGATATGCATAAGTTATATTCACTTTTATTGTTGCCTTGCTGCACAGCCTAAGATGATGCCTACTTCTCTATCTCTATCTCTATCTCTATCTCTATCTCTACCTCTACAACTAAAACATACGGATTGTCAACATCTACCCGGCAGGACCAAAACACTCATGCCATCCATATCCGGCAGGCAAATAATCACCGCATCTCATGCGATCCATATCGGTAGGCAAATAATCACCACATGAAGACACTGGAAGGCAAGTAAATAAAATAGAATAAAACTCATGGAATCACCGGCAGGCAAATAATCACTGCATGGAGACACTGGAAGGCAAGTAAATAAAATGGAATAAAATGGAAAGAGAATTATGGGAAGAGAAAGGAATTTATTGGAATATCACCACGCAATGATCATGATCGTGATCCAAATCTCGTTCGTCGTCCTTCGCGTTGCATGTTGACAACAAATATTCTTTTTTCCAAAAAATGAATTATTGCCATGCCTCATGCGGGCTAGGATATTGTAAGTCCGAGTATACATGTTTTGGCAAGGCAGAGCATGGATAAATTCAATTCGATGCCTAACAATAAATTTTCAGCCTTTGAGGCAACTGATGTTTATCGTAACTTTCAGACAACAAGCTCGAAGCCTAGCTTTTATTTTAGATTCATTACGATAATGAATGTGTTTCTACACATTATCATAGTATAATACACGTGAAAAATTGAATTGATATATTCTTGATTTTGACTTGGCTAACAAACATCTCATTCAATTTATGTTGCACCCGTTGCAACGCACGGGCACTCATCTAATTTACGTTATATATCTGTTTCCAGTCAATTGCTTATTAACTACTATGTTTCTTTATTTTGTAAGCGAACCTTCTGTGTTATTTGTAGGTATGGCACGGATTTCTTCATTCTCTATCGATATCCTTTGGCTGTCCGTCCATTCTACACCATGTCTTGTTATGACAACCCAGCTTACAGCAATTCTTTTGATGTCTTCATTCGAGGTATGCATATGCTTGTATAATTTCATTATCAAAGATGTGATGCTGTTTTTTTTGGGACCAGTGTTGAGTTAAGCAAATGTGTTTTTCCTTTCCAAGCCCAAACTTAACTTAGCAATGTGCTAATGTCATAGGTGAGGAGATCATTTCTGGAGCACAAAGAATACATATACCTCCGACTGCTGCTCGATCTTAAGTCTCAACCCCATCTACACGATAGAACTTTGCCTAAAAATTCAGGAGGGCTCCAGGGCTCCCGGTATCGGTAGGGTCCCCCGCGCGAATCCGTCGCTGAACCCATGTACTCATGTTTTTTTTTTTTTGAAACGAAACCATGTATTCACGTTTATCTCATGAGTTGCCATGTCCATGGATGCAGAAAGATTTAAACCAATTTAATAACATATCACAGATGCAATGGAAGAAGAACATGGAGAAACTTTTAGGTAGCTAGCAGAACTAGTTTCTCCACGTTCTCTAATATTTTGCTATTTTATTAATTGGTGCCTCTGCTCTGCTCATCGTCAGACGGGGAAAGAAGGAAGCATGAATCTTAGGTGGTGGCTGTGAACCACTTTACAGTACAGTACTTATTACTAGAAGCGAGTTCTGAAGGCGGGTCTTTTTTTGTGTGTAACTAGGATGTGTTGCACAGTGATGTTACGTTACAGCAGGAATGTGAAATCTATGTGCTTGATTGGTTAGGCACCATCCTCTGTTTTAGATAAATCGAACCTTAGAAGGTATTGATCTGATTATCCTATTATGACTTGTGTGTTTCATGAACAAGATAGGATCATAGATTCAGAAATGTATTTTCTTCTTGTGTGATGGAAGCTGTATATACGGCCTCTTCACTTGGTCGTAAACGATTATAAATTTCCAACTAGAACAATATTTTTCTCTCACACCAAACCAGCCAGCAGTAATAATCAACGATCGCACGATCGTTTTAGCCCCAGCCGAACAGGCTGTATACTGATGCCTTACGATGGAAGGTGAAATGTGTAGTCTATTTTGCCATGTGCTAGTACATTTGTACAGTTGGACACGGCAGCCGCAGTGGATGATGCATTCAATATGTCTAATGAAGTGAAAAAAGTTTCACATATGTCTGTTTTTCTTTGCACTGTACTATTGTGGCAACTGTCCAAATCTGGCAACTATCCAAATCTAAGATCCCTGCATGCCTGACACATTGTATGTAGGCCGGCCAATTGAAGAACAAATTCTAAGCATCTTATGTACTATGTCTCATTGCTTGGTTGAAAAGATAGTATTATAATTAACTTCATTGTATGTATTTTCTGAGGAAAGCATAAGAAAAAAAAATCCTTTGTCTGAACAGAAGCTCCTACTTATCCTTTCAGCTTTTGAATGTTCCTGCTTATTTTTTTTTTAGAAAAAAATCTCCATGTGCACTGTTGGTAGCCTCTCTTGTGAGTTCATCATTGTGTATGTACTACTCTATGACTTACTAGCTAAAAATGCACTACACTTACATTGTAGAAACAGAGTTACGGATGCTCAGGGACTTTCTTTCACAGATATGCATATAAGATGTTGAATGCTTGGAACTCAAACATATAAGATGTTGAATGCTTGCAGTAGCATATGAAAAGGTAAAAACTATCAAACATAAGCGAATCAGCCCAGTTTATTCTGTAGCTGCAGAAACCGCTCTGTTGCTGCGAGTGTTCGTTGGATGTTTTTTCTTTTTTTTTTCTTTTTTGAAATGATTCGCTGGACGGTAATTTTTTTTTTGAAACGGTTTGCTAGACGGTGTTGTTTGTTTGCAGACCACGGGGCACAATCACACCAGCAGAGACGACTTTATTTGCTTCGCAAAACAGGATTTAGAGGCTCCTGATCAATAGTAGGCAGTTGACATGCCATGCACTAATGCAGGGCTCAGCTCTCCGCTGCCTGGCATCTGCTTTGTGTAGTCACTAGGTAGGTAGGCGCGCTTCGCTGCGCCTGTATGCTTCTATTTGCTTGAGCATCTTGTGTAGGGCTACAGTGACGTGTGGGCATGCCGTAGTTTTTTTATTGTCTTCTAAAACATCAAGATGGAGGTACTCCTAACAAACAGAAATTGCCAGGCACATGGTGCAAGGAACAAAACATAGTTATGTTAATCCATTTCGCGTATAAGGAGCAGCAGGCATACTAACTGAGAAATTCGGATGCATGACATAACATATACAATTAGTGGCAAGTTTAGCCAGGTAGCAGACTGAGGGACATAATGCTCCATCAATGAATATACAGTAAGTAGTCTAAACCAACTGGATGCTAAGAAGCAGATGGTCTAAGTCTTTGGTAAAGCTGATTGGAAGTGGACGTCAGCATCATTGGCCTTGATAGGACTCCTGAAAGCTATATCTGTATGAATACTCCGTTAATGTACATATACAGTAAGTGTTCTGAATACTCCATAGAATCGCTAGGCGCTATCTGCATGTTATATCTGTATGAATACTCCATTAATGTACATATACAGTAAGTGTTCTGCATCAACTGGATGCGAGAAACGGGTGGTCCAAGTCAATGGTAAAGCTGATCAGGAGTGGACAGTAGCATCATTAAAGCCAACCTAGCTAAAGCTGATCAGGAGTGGCCATGGTAATTTGTTTGATGGCAAATGAGCAGAAATATTCAAGAAAAAAATTAAGTAGAGTTTTGTCATGCCTAGTTATGTTTGGGAGAAACTGTATAAATAGGTTTTTTTCAGGTGAGATTCACCATGGCCATGTAATCCCTGCAAGGATTGGCATGCAAATGTGAATCCGTGATTAAAAAGGATGACATTTTGAACGTAGCCACTATCAGTTTAATTTAAGAATATGTAATGCCAATAGAAGGGGGCTATGAGAATATTTGATAGCCACAATCAGTTTAATTCAAGAGTATGTAATGCCTATAAGAATCTATGAGAAACGATAGAGGCTATAAAATGAGCACATACGGTGAAAGTAGTAGTGAACAGTATGGATCCCCAAAGAAACAATTATAGCAAGAAAAGTGAGAATCAATATATTGGAAAGTAGGATGGTCTGGTTTGTTTAGAGATAGGTTGCATGAGGAACACGTACGTAAAGTCACAAAAAATAAAAACAGATGACAATGTCTGAGTATAAAGCAAAGTGGGTAATTATAGCACAACTTTTTTAAGTTTCAAATGTAAAGTTGTCATGGAAAGTAGAAGGTGATAGTGGAGGGCAATTCTCTTTATGGCTGAGCTACTTGAACAGTCCGGTGGAAATGATAAAGTATAATCATCTTCTTTGTTGTGCAATATGCTTAGTGTATGCCTGTTATCTTAGCTCTACAGATGACAAATTTGGGAATAACACGGTAGCAACAGGGGGCATGGGTTCAGTGGCATACCAGAGGCTTAGGTAGCCCTGAGCTGGTGATCATTGCATTGAAAAGAAACTGAAGCTTGACTCTGAACTGGAGGCAACACTGAGGAATCTGACATTGTGTTCATATTTAAGGCTGTTCTCAAAGATTTGGGCTGTACAGAGTAAAAAAAAAATCAGACCAGGTTATCATTTAGTACCATATATTGCAAAAGTAAAAAAAAACTTTTTAACACACTGTATGCATGCCTTGGCATATATACTTTGGCATTTGGACCAGTAAAGGTGCATGGATCATGTTAATTTTGTTTTCAGTATTTTGTAAGCAATGTATGCAGATAAGCTGACCCAGAACATTCTATAATGGAAAAGGATCATTCGCAACAAAAGCAATTAAGGTCTAAGTAATATAATATCGCTAGAGGCTAAATAAATTAACTGCAGAATTTTGCTGTAGGAAATTTTCAGTAAGGCTGCATCGTTTTCTTTTAAGATTTTCTTGAACAAAGTTTCCTCGTCAACATTAACATGGAATCTATTAAGCGAATGAAGGCAAAATTAACAACTTGTAGCTTCAAATTGTACGGACAAAAAAGGAGGCATGAACATTATGTAGCATTGTAGCGTGATAAGTAAATAGAACAGCTCAAGCCGAAAAGCAGGTGCAAATAAGCAATACTACATTCATTAGAACATCAGCAATCCTTAACATTCCATAATGCCTTATTAGGCTTCTGTATTGATACAGCAAAACATATTTTTCATCTATATATTAAAGAACAAATTAGCAGCAGCAGCAGCTCCCAAACTAATGTGATAGCCTAAAATATCAAAGATGTACCGAACAAAGTAATAAGGAAATTGCGAGAAAAATGTAAGGGGACTAATTTTACAAAAAGGAACGATAATAGCTGCGATTAATATAGAAGACACACAATTTGTGTGCATAACATATATTCGGAGTCCTACAATTACAAAAGTTTCAGACAATTATTTGCATATATGAATCGCATCTGATTAGAAACCATTATCCCTATGGTAATACAAAGTGGTCAGACTTCTCCAAATTATAGTTTATGATATTAATCGGTTGATCTTTCTAGGGTCAAGAATACTAATTTCACTGAAGCCAACAACAAAATTGGATACCAAGCTGAATAGGTAAAGAATAGAAGAATGGAGTGAGCATGATACACATGCGGGAGTCTTCCCCTTTACTACTTGAATTCCTATAACTGTCAATGTACATGAATCAGGGAAGAGCAGGATGCACTTGACAGATAAGAACATATTTAAGTGGGTTTTCCTCTATAGAGATAAAATTTTATTATGCCATCATCACCAAGCAATACAAATCATGGGTACGTATTGGTATCAGCAGCGAGACATCGAAGAGAACATACGTACATGAGCAGTGACAAATTTGTATCAGCATTAAGTAGGTACACCCATTGCTCACAACGTTATCTGACCAAAATAACTTAAATTAATTGAATGGCATTGCGATAAACATACATCGATGATAGTCTGTCTACAAAATACGTACACATGAATGAAGCTGGTTGAAACTTGAATTCGAATCATGTAACCCCAATTTTAGTAAACCACCATAAACTGAACTAATATAACAAAATAAAGCGTAGCACTTACATGTGAGGGAACCATCAATTGGTGCCACGGATCAACGGAGTGCAGCAGCAGTCATGAACATGAAAACCCTAGTATTCGAACAAAATCAATGTGGATTTTGGAGGAAAATCAAATAAAAAAAGAGAAATATGGTAACTCTTATTACTCCTAGATTTAAATCAAAACAGAGAAATAAGAATGAAATTAGAAAAGAAAAGAGAGGAGGTCAGAGTAGCTGAGAGGTTAATGAAGCTGGTGAAGTCTTTGTGGCTAAGTAAAGCTACGCAAGGTTGGCGGCACGACACTGTATCGGAGAGCGCCACCAGCTGTGGAGTTCGCGAACCGCTAAGATCAGAGCGAGGGAGACGTCGATTCGGCTAGGAGCAGCTCTGCCTGTGGTGGAGCAGGTGCCAAATCGGTACAAAGGAGGCTGTCATCGCTCGCGCTAAGGGGTCAAGGAGGAGGAGAAGGAGAAAGGCAGCTGGTGCGGCTCACTGTTCCAAGTTCGCTACCGGGTTTGGCCGTTGCTGTGGCGGCTCCGTGTCCAGGCGTCGCTCTCGCTATCCCGGCTCGCAGATCTAGGAGGGACAGGGAGCGGAAGGGGAGCCGTCGTGGGCACAGATGGAAGGGGAGTTCGGCGGAGGCGCCAAAGGCGAGGGCGAGCTGGAGCTCCGGCCGTTGCTCTCACCGTACCGCCTCACAGATATTGGAGGGGAATGGGGACGGAGAGGGAGAGGAAGGGGTGCCGGCACGGATCGAAGGCGAGGGGGAGAAGACAACATACCTGGCCCGTCGTGGAGCTCCAACGCAACGCTGCCGTCGCTGCCTCGCCGTCCTGGTTCCACGCACAATCGTACGACTGGCCGCCGCCGCCGGGGAAGAGGAAGAGGCGCTGAAGCGATCCACAAAAGGTTGCGGCATCCGCGTCCGTTGCCGCTGGGGGAGGATGCGCCGCAGCTAGGGCCTGGGGGAGAGGAGGCGCCGCAGAAAGTGCGGACGGACTGACGGAGGCAGCGAGGCGCGATGCCGCTCGAGGGGTTCCGCCGCTAGGGGAGAGGAAACGCTGTAGCAGGAGCATGGGGAGAGAAGGCGCCAGAGAAAGCGTGGAGCTGACGGATGCAGCGAGGCGAGACGCCGTAGTTCTTTTTTTTTAATTACGGAAACAGACAAAGCAATCCGGAGAGGCCAAATCCATGCGTGGACACGCACGAATCCACGTGGCGGCACAATATTGGCCAATCCACGTGGCGGCACAAGTTTGGCCAACAGTAGTCGAACAGTAGCCAAAGCTCTGTCCGTGAGCGGATCCTACGCAAGATTGGCCAATCCACGTGGCGGCACAAGTTTGGCCAACAGTAGTCGAACAGTAGCCAAAGCTCTGTCCGTGAGCGGATCCTACGCGCTATATGAGGTAGCATATTGCCGTGTGGCCAGCCATTGGTAGTGTGTAGTAACACCTGTAGGGCTTAAGATAAGTTTGGGATGAAGTGCACTATCAATTAGTTTTCACTATTACTGTACTCTAAATAATTGTAGTGCTTGTTAACTGTAAGGCTAGTTTGTTTTTTATTTATCTTAATCTTAACAAGGCTACAAACAGGAAAAGTTAACAGTGGGAATTTTCTTCCTTTTTGTTTGTGTAAAGACAGTTAGGTGGCGTTTAAATGGAAGGATATAGGGGGTAGGATAGGGATAGGGAAATGGATGAACAGCTAAGATTAAATGAGGCGTAAAGAATAGATGGCTAAGATACAATATTACCCTTTCGAGGGTGGGATATCCCTATCCCGGTCTCATCCAAAATGCCACATCTAGTGCCTGTTTGGTTTCCCCCTGCTTTAGTCACTTTAGTTACTAAACTATCAACAAACTGACTAAAAAGGGACTAAAGTAGTTTAATCACATTAATATCCCAAGGAGGTGCTCAAGTGCCCAGTGGACAGGGGCTGCTCCTCGTTATTACTAGTCCCCCACCTTGATTTGTGTATTCATTAGGGGTAGTTTGGTCTTTGTTGAACTGCTTTAATGGTCTTTAGTCACTTTTAGTCACTAGAACCAAACAAAAATGACTAAAGTTTAGTCATTAATTTTAGTAGCTAAATTTTAGTCATTAGAAACCAAACAGGGTCTAAGTCTCCTTTGATTCTTGCTTTGTAGGAGCCGAAGGTATGAAAGATTTGTTTTGCAATATTGGCCAGAAAAAGGAAGCAAGGTTATGTGTTAGCATGTGGTTTGAAGACCAACAAAGATATTTAATTTTGCTATGAACCTAGTTTGTAACTTTGTATAAAATGCTCTATTAAATTGTAGATGAGATGAGTCTTTGCAGATTTAGATCATGCACTGTCTCTTGTTTGCACCTTTTTTTTTTAGATTTTTAATGAAAATCTCAGTTATTTTATCTATTTTTTATTTCACAAAAATATTGTTTGGTTGCTATATTTTTTGTGCAAGGTGTCCAACCGCAGGACACGTCTGGACGCTGCTCCAGAGCCCGTGGCGCACTCATCCGTAGCCTCGTGCCTCACTTGCCAATGTGGCCTATCCGCATTCGTAGGCCATCCCCATCCGCAGGCCAACACTGGCCCTCCATCGCTGCCCTACGCCCAACCTGAGCACATGGAAGGGGAAGGACCTAGACGGCCATGTCGGACCTCGTTGGCGGCGTTGGAGGTGGATGAGACACCAAGGCGAGGCAAATAGAAGGCGAGGAGGAAGATGCAACACTCAATCTACTTTCGAAACACCCAGATGCAACACTTGCAACATATGTCTTAAGACCGATGAAACACTTGAAACATGCGTCTAAAACACTTGCAAAAACACCAAAAACCACTTGAAACCATTGTAAACATACAAAACATCTAGTTAAAACACTTGCAACATATGCGCGAAACAAATGCAACATCCAGATAAGCACACTTGCAACATATATGTGAAAAAACAGATGAAACATTGGGAACAAAAACTTACAACATATGTGTACAACCATTACAACTTATGCAATATCCTAATATACTTTTGCGACATCCATATGAAACACTTGTAACATACCTATGAAACATCTGAAACACTTGAAACATACATTTTGTAACATGGGGAGGACAAGGCTGGTCGAATCCAGCCGTTGGTTGGAGTCAGCGACGAGTGCGCGAGCACCACCAGCACCAGCGGCGGCGCGAGCACCACCACCAGCGCCACTAGCACTGTGCTTGGCTCGACCAGGTCGGCAGCGCGCGCGACGGGCGGAGCGAGCACCCCTAGCATCAGCGCCAGCTGCGGCCCGCGAGCAGCACCGGTGGAGAGGAAGGATGGTGGAGGCGGGCGGCCACTGTGGCCGAGCGGTCGCTGCACGCGGCGGTGATGCTGGGAGTATCAGACCTCAAGAAGTGGAGGGTGGGGTTTCCGTTCTGAAGAGTGGACAACGACCGAACGATTTTCCAATAAAAAATACGAGTATAATGAAGCACACTTGTTGGACTGTTCCGTCTAGCATCGCCCAACACAACATCAGCGTTCGAAAGATCAAACGCCCGTACTTAAGCATTTCCGATATTTTTCTGTTTCTTTTTTCAAACTTTAGAGATGAATGCTATTACTAGCTCACATCAGTTGCTTCTCACGTGAGTTTTGGTCCCCGGTGCCAAACGAAGCCTAGGGTCCGTGGCATCATTGCCATTTCTATTTTATTCCAAGGCAACAGGATCAGTGCAGCGTCGTTTGGCAAGTGTATACTAATCAGAAATTTCTGGAAGAATCTCGCACTTGGATCGCGATGCGGGTGGTGCACTGGTGGGTGGCGGGGGCGTGGACCAGGTGTCCAGGTGGTCACAACGAACCCAACCGCTGCCCATGTGCTGTCATAGCAGGTGGACAACCGCCGTACAGGCATCGCCATCGCACAGGTACAGCGTGTGTGCGCTTGCTTAGCGTTTAAGCTACAAGCTTCCTCTTCCCGTTTCCTGCCGGACCACATGTTACGCGCAGCACAGATTCCATATCAAATCAAACCCATCTGCTCAGATGCTGCTCAACAAGACAAATCACTCTAGCCATACACACCTCACAGTGCCTCAACAGGACAGAGGCAAGACAAACCTATCAGATCCGAGCTAGCTGTGCAGATCAAACGTCGAGCCGATGATTAACCAAGCACACTGCACACCCTCAGGGGAGGGTGAAGAGCAAACTTGAGATTTTGCACACGTTCGCCATGTGGAGAGAATGAGATTCTGCGACAATTTTCTACGAACGGTCTTAGTACGAGATTTCAGTAAAATTAATGCACTTCAAACAAAAATCTACCAGCACTTCATAGGAGTACTGCACAGAGAAGACGAACATAATAATAATCCTCTCAGAGCCGGTGAGCTGTAGGTACAGAAACGCACACAATAAATTATAGTAACAATAAACTCACACCAATCACACACACTAGATCAAATCCACCATAAAAAAAACCTCTCCAAACCCTCAGATCCATCCGCCACGCGGACCAAAACAAATGCCTCCTCTTCATAACACTGTCACCACCGCTACGATACCTGCTACTACCACTACTAGACTGCTGCAGACTCTCACTACCACCGTACCACTAGATCTGAAGACGCGCACGCAGACGGGGCGGCTGGCCCACCACCACCACCTCCTCAGTGGTGGTGGCAGAGGAAGGCGGCGAGCAGCGCCGCGAGGAAGCAGACGAAGATCGGCGCCGAGAGGGCGCCCGAGCCGGAGGTCGGGGCCGGGGCCGGCGCCTCGGCGGCGGAGGCGGCGGTGGCCAGCGCGGCCACGGCCACGAAGGCGGCGATCACGGCGGCGGAGACGCGGGCCATCGAATCGATGCGGACGGACGGACGACGAGGTGGCGGCGGCGCCGGAGCGGGAGCTGCTAGGGTTCTGCTGGGAGGCGGCGTGAGGAGGAATGGGGGCTGGCGGAGGCCATGGGGTCGAATTTATAGGAGGGGAGGTTTGGTAGTTCACAGCCTGGCCTGGACTGTCGTACAGGGCGGTTACGATTATTGACCCCGGTTTTTGTGGTAAGAAGATACAGGGGGTTGACACATATTCCAGGGTAATTAGGGTTTAAGTAGTAAATCATAGAGGGGCCCACGTTGACAGCGTGGTGTTCACAAGAGCTGGGCAGGGTGCCACTGCAAAAGGATGGACGGTGACCGGCCGGTCACTGATGAGATGACCCACAAGGCCACAATTATTACCGGGTAACGACGCCTTTCTTTCGAATTCCTCTCGCCCTCTTCCGGTTTGATGTGACTAGTAAATTGGTACTCCTTTTCTCAAATGATACCGTTTGTTTCTATTTTCTCTCGTCTCTAAATAAATTGATTTTAAAAGTTATTCTAAGTTAATTTTTTTAGGTTATACCAAAGGCCTATCTGGATCTATTGTTAGTGGCTGATAATTAGCTCACTAATAGGTCACAACTATTATTAGTTGCTATTAGCTACTTTGGTTTAAGTAGTGAAAGAGTTGTTAGTTAAGTATTCAGCTAACAATTAGCTACCTAAGAAATTAATTATTAGCATCTAACTACTATCTCTTTGGATCCAAACGGGGTCTAAATTTATAGAAAAAATGTCAAGTTTTATAACATCAAATTATCATCGGTAGATACACTATGAAATACATTTTTATAGAGCTCATTTTTATAAATTTGATTAAACATAAAGGTTGATTTATTTTGAGACGGTGGAAAGATTTTAAGCACCTCAATCAATGAATAATAGCATGGATCTCTTAGAATAATTACTTTAAAATAAATCTCAAATTGGCCATTGATTCTAACTCTATTGCTAAATATCTTAAGATAATCCTGGTGGGACTCTAACACAGTAGAACTGACTTTGTGATCATTAACCTTAACAATTTTTCTAAAGGGGACAAGAATTGTATTAAGTTGAGAGTATGATTTACATCAGGCATTCGATCTTATTAAAATAAAACAATTATTAGAGTATATTCAACTCCTTTCCGTTCACATTCTTCGACTCCGGTGCACTCATCAACGATTACATATCTCTGATACATCGAAGCTCAGCGATGCTAACCGGCACCTTCTAAGCATCGCCCCTCTAATAATCTACGATGATGAGTCTTCAAACCTTAGAAAAGCTATATGAGCTAACACCATTCAAACTTTTCATCATGCATATGACACATTGAAAGAGTGTCGCATGCCTTGTTGTCAAAGATGATCAACGAACAAATCTAGCACCAGAAAGTGCCATCCATACTAGAACTGACAGTCCAAACAAATACTCAGGCATCATGAGACTTAGGAGTAGATCCAAAGCTAGGGCATCCGAGGCTCGAGCTCCCCTACCACTAGCAGAAGCATGGAGCCCTCCTAAGACTATCTCCAACCGAACGTACCCAAATTGAAGACCCATTCGATATTTTGAGTCATGCACAGTGAAAAGGTCCCGAACCCAAACCTCGCGTTCTCCAACAGCCTAAACAAAAACAGCCACGCAAAAGCAGAGCCATCCCGAAGCGTTGGCGTTGTTGACGAGGACGCCCACGTCGCGGCCCTCCACGGCGGCCGCCACCCTCGCCACCCCGCGCCGCGCGTCGTCCCCGGTGACAGCGAGGTCGAACGCCACGCTCCGCACGGTAGACCGGAGAAAGCGGAGCAGAGGAGGGCAGAAGGGTAGAGGCAGACCGGAGGGGAAGGGATGGAGCAGGGCAGAGCACGGCGACGACGGCAGCCTCGACGCTCGGCTCCGGCGGTGCTTCGACGCGGTGGAGGTGCTCCGGCTACACCGGTGCCGGATCCGCCGCTAGCCACCGAGATCCGCAGGAGGAAGAGGAAGAGAGGGCGCTGCTCCTGCAGGGTCACCGGATCCTCCCTGCACCGCTGGGATCCGGCTCGCCGCCGCCTAGAGGACCTCGGCCAGGCCGGATCTGATGGAGAAGAGTGTTGCCACCGGATCTGAGGGACGAGCGCCGCCGCAGCCGTGCTTCAGGCGGATCCCATGCGCCGCTGTCGTCGTGAGGCCGCCCCTGCACCTGCGCCCGTCAAGGATGCACCGCCGCCACCGGGAGCGTCCCCGCGCGTGGTCGTTGCAGGATCCACCGCCGGGAGTGCGCGTGCGAGCTTGAGCTCGAGTTCCCTGACGGCGGCAGCGGCCCAAGGCTACGCCGGCTCAGCTTGTGCTGCGCGGCGAGCGGCGGGCCGAGGTGGTGCTCCCAGGTGGGCGAGAGGGAAGCGAAGCTCGGCCATTCCTTTCCGTGGGCGAGCTCCGGAGAATTGCGTAGCGAGGAGAGAGGGACGCTTTTTTGCGTTGCCTTTGGGCCGGTAGCCAAAATGCGTCGTGTGAATGGGTTAGCCATTGGAGCTGGTATACGATAGGCAAAGGCACTGTGCAAGACTCATTTTTGGGTTTGGGTAGTATCGTTGGAGTCAGTCTAAAGCCCAACTATAATTCTATAGTCATTGAAGTTTGGAAGAGGAGCTAAATTAAAAAAAAAAGTAAGGCTGAAGAGCCTCTCCTATCACTAGATATGGTATTGAGGCTTAACTATCCTCTTCAATCATTATCAACCCTGGGAAAACAAAAATATTGTGAAGATTGTCGAATTGGACGCATAGGTAACTACACGCATCATAGGCCTCCATGAGAAAACAAAACAAGGTAGGATTTAACGAAGACAATGCTCTAGATAGCTTGAAAGGGTAAAGTTTATCTCCTACAACTAAAAAGAACAAAAGTAAGACTATTTTTTCGTGCGACTTTTTCTGGGGTCGCTCCTTCTTCCCGTCCGTGTGATACCACATCACGCGCTCCACTCCATCCTCCCCCCGCCGCCAGCCCCGCACGCCCGCAGCCTCCCTCCACGCTCGTGACCCCCGCCGTGCCGATCCATCTCCCTTCCAGATCGGCATCGCGATGGCGGCGGGGTGACACGGCGCTGCGGCCCCCCATGGGAGACGCCCACCCAGAAGACGCTCACCACCCGTCGTCCGTGACGCAGTGGAAGAGGAGCGCGACGTCGGCGTTCCTTCTCGGCGTGGTGGGCGGGGGCAGGGGCAGTGCGCGGCCTGTCGGTGCAACCTGCTGCCATGGCTCTGAGCGGGTGGCGGCGGATCCGGGTGCGGCGTTGCAGGGGAGGCATGTGGCGGCGGCGGCGGCTTCTTGACCTTGGAGTCGTGCGGTGTTGCAAGCGGAGGCCTGTGGTGGCGGCGGCAGTTTCCCGAGCTTGGAGTCGTGGGATGAGGATGAAGCTCTCTTCTAGGAGTCCGTCGATGCATCTTCCTGCATCTCCTGCTACTGCTATTATGGATGTGACCATCTCATTTGCTAGGAAGAAGAATCGATGGAGCTTGTTGCTGGGAGTGGAATTTTATCAAGCTGGGTATTACTGCAGGAGATGGAGCAGGATTTCTAGGATCTAGAAAGTGGCAGCGTGATTTGTGTCAAAACAGGTAATTTCTTTTTGTGGAAGTACTTATACTACCAAATTAGTTTCAGATATAAATGTCCCATGCCCAAGTTTTGAGCCAACATGTGCTTGCATTAAGTCTCATGATTTATTTGCAGATTATTAATTTCTAAAGAAAATATCATGCTTTAGAAAAATATCATGTTCTAGATGTCATTGTCAATTATTAACAGTATGTTTCTTCAGAACAATTTCTTTATATGTTTGAGTAAATTAGTGTACCAGTTAGCTCATGTCAAGATGCTGACAATACAAAATTTGATAGAATTCACTTTGGATTAATGTGGCCTGTAGCGTTAGCACATGATAATTTCCCTCTTTTTCCAATCATGTTTGCCTTGATCAGGAGATGACGTTAAGGGAGATGTTCGGATCACCGGTGTTACTGCCACACTCCTCGGACGAGCGCACGCTGCGCCTAGGCCCTACCCGGCCTCGGATTCCGTCGCTCCACGGCAAGCACCCTAGCTTCAGATGCCGTGCCCTCGCCTCGGCTCCACGCCCGCGCCCCGCCTCAAGATGCTGCCCGCAGCTCGCTCGTCTCCGCCATAGCTTGAGGTATTCGCACGCTTCGGTTTGTTGCTTGAAAATCCCCTGTCCCTATTGATTCGATTTACTTCTCTTTGATTTTGTTAGTGGTTTCGGTTTGGATTGCTTGTTACAAATGGATTCGTAGCTAAGTTGGCAGTAGTGCTTGGTCATCTGATTTTAGGGGTTGGCATAGATGTGTTTATGAGTTTGATGTCGATCTGTGGATCTGGTTTTGGATGATGTGGTTCATGTTGTAGTTGTTCCCGTTAATTAGGTTTTGCTTGTTTAGGATTTAATTGGTTACTGGGTTGAATTTGTAGTTCATTCCGTGTTTATTATGCTTCAGTGAGGATGTGAGGGTGGGGTTTCTTGAATGTTTAGACAGGAACATGACAGCAGGATTTCGTGGGGTTTGGATCTGATTTGTGATGTTTATTGGATGAGGTTGTTAGATGAAGCGACTGCGAAGCTGGATTTGGAGGCGGTCAATGGCCACAGAGTTGATGAGGAGCTTCCGAGAGAGGTACTGAGTACTGACCACCAGTGTTCTCATGTGTTTGTTACTAGCTGTGTAAAATTATATTTGAGTTTAGTTCTTATTGGAGGCAAGCAGTGCCGAAAATTGAATCAGACTCAGACAATCTATATACTCTTACCGATTGTTGTCCAATCCAATAGGTTTTAGGTGCTCAATTCAGGTTTGTGATGATTTTACAGCATGCTATACATCACTTGCACTAGAATGCAGTAGGTTCAAAGAAATGTGTAATGTGTGATTTAGGATTAGCTGCTTGGTGACTATATCTGGACCAAAGTTATGACCCCTGTTTCACTCTTGATCACCGACCATTTTTCTCATATTATGAGCTGCACCAAGAAGGTACTTTTGCCAATAAAAAAGATAATGTTTATGATTTTTTTCTGAAACTGGAATTAGATTCTGCTACAATTAAATTGACATTGTGACATGTGCTGTGTAAATTAGTAGAAGTGTATGCACATTAAGTTATTATTTTATTGTGAATATGCAT